TTGTTTTTTTATTGATTTTCTCGACTCTATCATAAGAAGAGTGGATTTTCTTTCGTTTTCGTTCACTGGATATCACACTCTTAGGACTGCACCCATCTGTATATTTGTCCATACGAGGAGCCAATACCATCGCAAAGACCTTGGACATATATTTTTAAACGCCTTTTCTGAAGTACTTAGGCCCGTCCTTAGGCAGAAAAACACGACAAACCAACCACAAAGGCCAGAAAATCACCCTATAGGCAATAACCCTTCAGGAGTAATATATTCAACGAGCACCGTCCATATGCATGTCATAGGGGTATAATATGACTGAATACAATGCTTAGGGTCCCTGCTTCCTGACTGCATCCTAAGTTATCGTTAGTTGTAGAATAACATTTTGATCCCAGTTCCAACAAATTTCGCTATTTTAAACTTAATTTCTTTCCCTTTAATGTCAAACAAGCAAAAAAATATTAAACCATCAACAACAAAACCTGACCATATTTGAACTTCATTATGAAAATTATATTGCCATGTCACAAATCAGTATTTTTGTTAATTCATTAATACAAAAGACAGCAATATTGGAACACAATGACTACAAAAGTTTGTCTGCACCAATTAAATGCAGCCAGTATGTCTTTTTTTATATTCAAAATATTGAATCGTCACTAAAATTCATTAGTTCAATAGCTTAGACTGTTTTGTATGACAAAAATATTTGACTGCTTCAATAAAAACTGACCATATTTGCACTTTATTATAAAAATTATGTAGCTGCATCGTAAATCACTATATTTGTTAACTAAGGATGAATTGTATAAAACAAATGACAGCAATGTTGGAACACAATGACTACAAAATGTTGTCCGCATCGATACAGAGTGCCAGCATGTCCTCTTTTTATTTAAGATATTGAAACGTCATCAAAATTCAGTAGTTTAAATATCTCAAACTGGTTTGTTTAACAAAAATATTTGACAATCATCAACAAAAACTTACCATATTTGTACTTCATTATGAAAATTATATTGCCATATCAATAAATTTTAAACTCATGATGAATTCTATAATACAACTAACATCAATATTAGACCACAATGACTACAAAATTGTGTCCTCATAAATTTAGAGTGCAATCAAGTCCTTTATATATTCAGGATATGGAATGGTCACCAAAGAAGTAGACTTCGTATCTCAGACTGGTTTGTATAACAAAAGTATTTGACCGCATCAACGAAAACTGACAATATTTGCACTTAATGATGATAATTATATATCTGCATCTTAAATTAGTATCATCAACTCAGTGGTCAGTACTTCGGTACTGACATGATTTAAAAAACTTTTCTAAAATTGTCCGTTTTTAGATTTTGAAATTATTAAGAAACTAAGGTTTCAACTCCCTCAGGCAAAGTTGACTTTAGATGAATTTGGCTATTTATTTTAGGTATTTTTGTCAAATAGCTCTTCAACGGTTTCGGTACTTATACATCCTCGGATTTCAAATGTATGGCTTTCAGCGTTCCTGATGAAGGTAAATCCTGAAAAGCGCTTCGGACGCATTAAATTATTAAACGTGTTGTTTTCTATTTTTGTCATCACTGGGTCGATACCTCTGCTGGTGGACTATCAGTCCCCGATGGTATCATCAGCTCAGTAGTCAATACTTCGGTACTGACATGATTTAACAAACTTTTCTAAAATTGTCCGTTCGTAAATTTTGAAATTATCAAGAAACTAAGGTTTCAACTCCCTCAGGCAAAGTTGACTTTAGATTAATTTGGCTATTTATTTTAGGTATTTTTGTCAAATAGCTCTTCAACGGTTTCGGTACTTATACATCCTCGGATTTCAAATGTTTGGCTTTGAGCGTTCCTGATGAAGGTAAATCCAGAAAAGCGCTTCGGACGCATGACATTATTAAACGTGTTGTTTTCAATTTTTTCATTAACTCAGGATGGATTATAGGATACCAATGACAACAATATTGGAGCTTCCATTTAGAGTGCTAGCATGTCCTCTATTTATTCAAGATATTAAATGGTCACCACAATTTAGAAGTTTTCTTATCTCAGGCTGCAAAATTTCTGACAGCATTAACAAAAACTAACCCTATTTGCACTTAATAATGAAATTATATAGCTGCATCATAAACCAGTAAATTTGTTATTAACTCATGAAGAATTCTATAATACAAATAATAGCAATATTGGAACACCATGACTACAAACGTTTGTCTGTTTCAATTAAAAGCAGCCAGCACGTCTTTGTTTTATTCAAAACATTGAATCTTCACCCAAACTAATTAGTTTTCATATCTCAGGCTGATTTGTATAACAAAAATTTTGAACCCTATCAATCAAAACTGACCATATTGCACTTATTAGGACAAATTATTAGTTTTCTTATCTCAGGCTGGTTTGTATAACGAAAATTTTTACATCAACCAAAACTGACCATATTTGCACTTTATTACTAAAATCATATTGGCGTGTATCGTAAATCAGTATAATTGTTAAATCAGGATGGATTGTATTTTACAAATTACAGCAATACTGGAAAACAATGACTTTAAAATGATGTCATCATCAATGTAAAGTGACAACATGTCCCCTTTTTATTGAAATCCTTGAACCATCACTGAACATCAGTAGTTTTCATCTCTCAGGCTGGTTTAGATCACAAAAATATTTGACATCAACCAAAACTGACCATATTTGATCAATTGCATGCCGACGTTCATTAATTAGACATTTCTCAACATTAACCCTAACCTTTAACCCTAAAAGAGGGACGAAAGATATCAGAGGGACAGTCAAACTCACAGATCAAAAACAAACTGACAACGCCATGGCCAAAAATAAAAAGACAAACAGACAAATAATAGTACAGATGACACAACATAGAAAACTAAAGACTTAGCAACACGAACCCCACCAAAAACTGGGGGTGATCTCAGGTGCTCCGGAATGGTAAGCAGATCCTGCTCCACATGTGGCACCCGTCGTGTTGCTTATGTTATTACAAATCTGGTAAATATTCTAATTCGGTAGGTCACATTCGTGAAAAGGGAAGGGTATTGTAGTTACGACATAAGGAATATATCCGATATCCTCTGTGAAACGGTTATTCCATAACGGTCAACCAACTCGTGATGGCGTCCGTAAAATTTTCTCAGGATATTTAATTTAGCCCAAACCCTAACCTCTATCCCTAAACCTAACCTCATCCCCAACCATAACCTAAAATTACATCCAGGCTTGGACGTTGATTACTCAGACACTGCAATAGCGATTTTCAGGGTCTTTGACGTTTTGGAAGGCCCAGACAAGCCAAAATTGGATGAGTGCATGGGTGGCTTTGGACCTTGGTCGGGTTGTTGTCTATTTGACACATTCCGCGTTTCAATTCTCTATTCTATACTTAAAATCAAATCATGTCCTGGCATGACTTGCATGTATTTTTTTTTAATGTGGATATTACAATCTCTGTCATTATCAGTTGTTATTTACAGTCCGTTTCGTTGTATGTTGGTGTTTGCTTTTGTTGTAGTTCAGTGCTTCTGTTATTCCGTTCATTTCCTCCTATAGTTGGTGTGTTTCCCTAGGTTTTAGTTTGTTACCTAAATGTGTTTTTGCTTAATCAAATTTTGACTATTGAACAGCGGTATATTACTGCAGCCTTTATTCTTTAGTCTTAGGTTACATGCACACTTTCTTGGGCGCGTCCTACCGATATTGTTATCGGCTTTTCCATGAGCTACAGAAAGTGATATAGCCCATGCCTATGACAGAGATATGATTATCCAAACATGAAGAAAGGCATATTTACATGTATTTTTTTTCAACTTTGGAGGTTAATATCTCTGTCATTATTCTGGGTTAACACACATTCTTGAGCACGTTGAACAGATATTTTAGTGATTTTTCATTGCGTCCAATACAGTGTGATACTACCGAATAACGACCCTGACGTTCAGGCATTAAAAATTCTCAGGTTGTTTACTAACTTTGAAGATGTAAAGCTCTGTCAACTTTTGATGTTATCATGCTTTCCTGTGTCCGTTGAACAGACAAATGAATCAGTTTTCCATATCAATTAAGAGTAGCGGTAAATTTGGTATGCAAATGTAGCCAAAATGTAGCCCGTTTACTGAAATGGAATGCGTTATGAGTAAGGGCTACATTTCCGCGGTAAATGATACATTTCCGCGATAAAAAAATAAAGGCAACAGTAGTATACCGCTGTTCAAAAGTCATAAATCGATTGAGAGAAAACAAATCCGGGACACAAACCAAAACCGAGGGAAACACATCAACCACAAGAGGAAATCAACGGAACAACAGAAACACTGAAGTGCAACAAAAACAAACGACAATGCAACAAACATAGAAACGAACGAAAATAACAGCTGACATATTCCTGACTTGGTACAGGACATTTTAAGACAAAATGGTGGGTTGAACCTGGTTTTATGGGTAGCCAAACCTCCCGCTTATATAGCAATGTTAAAAATACCGCTAAAATGACAACACTACGTGACAGAAACACAGCACAATTAAATGCAAGAACACCCAGGACAGAGTAATACATAAATAAATAATATAATAGTATATTTCGACATGTAAACCACAGTATAACGAACACCTAAAATTAATTTACGACAACACACAAATACAGCCCAATAGAACCATGAACCATGTGTCACACGAATGCATTAACTCCACAAAAAGTGACGCCACAGGCAAATTTCTAGAAATTGAAAATAAAATTGGGATTAAGTTTGTAATAGTGTTACTTGATGTATTTTCTAACAATTACAAGAACATTTATATAGAATTGTACCTGTATTCTCCAACCATGTCGGTCCTTCTTCTTAATCAAACTGTGTAAAGACAAATAAATCCTGTGCATATAGTTACTTTAAAAAAATGTTCTTGGCTACGTTTTGTATCCATTTTCCGGACATTCCGTAGAAATCGTAAAACGAACAAGGAAGATAGGAAGGTCAATAGAAGTGTAAATAATAAAAAAAACTGTATATTGTTCATAGAATAAAATATCAATTACACTGCTACTTATCAGGTTTATTTTTAGTATAAAATATCACAGTATTCAATAAAACTTAATTTCAAGACTTGTATTTAAGCATACACATTACATCTACTTTGACTAACCATTGTATGATCTACTTAAAAATATTAACAATAAAAGAAATGTTCTTTACACTCTGAGAAATATACAAGTCATGATACTTTTAAAGCAAAAGTACAGAAAAATTTATAACTGTATAATACCCTTGAACAATACGAAATAAGCACTACAGATATAAGTAGTACCCCTAACAAACACACTGTCTTCAATAAATAGGAAAACAATTAATTGATTAACTAATGACTTTTTGAAATAACATTTGGATGACAGACATGAACCTGTAACTTAGATATCAATGAATAATGTCAGACGAAAACATATTGATGGATTGGAGAATACATCTATGTACTATCAAATAGAATTTTAAAGGAAAGCAGCAGTTTTCAAACATCAATTCACTAATTTGATTCTTTTAGTTTGGATGAAAACTTTTAATTAGGATCGTAACTATAGTAAAACTGACTCCAATAAAGTGGGGTTAGGTTTAGGATCATTTTTAAAAAACGGTTGTCTGTATTAGTCAAGTGGTTCAAAGGAAACATATGAAAAGGAAGTTTAAAAAAAGATATAATGCAATGAAATCAATAAACAAGAAACTTACATATGATTCAGTAATTAACAGTCTTTTTCATTGTCAAGGAATGCAAAACTAATATTTACTTCAATATAATAATTGTTCATATTAACTTGTACAAGTCAGCATTACACAGAAAGACTGCCTTCTCTAAAGTTTGTTGTACCAATGAGAGCATTAATAAGTACACTGTGTCCTTCCCTACTATCTTTAATGGCTTGATGTAGAACCTCTTTAATTTTATCCTCGTTACTGCGATCTAATCTGTATCCTTTACCACCATAACCAACAGAAACGGTTTCATAATTCAAGTACTGTAAATAAAGAGAAAACAAACTTCAATGGCATTTTTTTAATAAAATGCTCCGCAGGGCGCAGCTTGATACGACCGCAGAGGTCGAACCCTGAACAGTTGGGGCAAGTATGGACACAACATTCAAGCTTGATACAGCTTTGCATTTGGATTGTGATTAAATATTTGACACAGCATAGGTTTCTGACACAGAATGAATGTGGTCTAAGAACTTAAAAATTTTAAATTGGACATCCACCTATTATGGTCCAATATCCAAAATCTAAATACATGGTTAGATTCAGCATATCAAAGAACCCCAAGAATTCAATTTTTGATGAAATCAGACAAATTTTAATTTTGGACCCTTTTGACCTCAATGTGGACAAAGTTGATAACGGGGCCCAAAAATCAAAAATCTAAATACATGGTTAGATTCAGCATATCAAAGAACCCCATATATTCAATTTTTGTTGAAATCAAACAAAGTTTAATTTTGGACCCCGATTTGGACAAACTTGAAAACTGGGCCCATAATCAAAAATCTAAATACATGTTTAGATTCAGCATATCAAAGAACCCTAAGAATTCAATTTTTGTTAAAATCAAACTAAGTTTAATTTTGGACCCTTTGGACCTTAATGTAGACCAATTTGAAAATGGAACCAAAAATCAAAAATCTAAATACATGGTTAGATTCAGCATATCAAAGAACCCCATATATTCAATTTTTGTTGAAATCAAACAAAGTTAAATTTTGGACCCCGATTTGGACCAACTTGAAAACTGGGCCCATAATCAAAAATCTAAATACATATTTAGATTCAGCATATCAAAGAACCCCAATAATTCAATTTTTGATGAAATCAAACAAAGTTTAATTTTGGACCCTTTGGACCTCAATGTGGACCAATTTAAAAACGAGGCCCAAAATCCAAAAACTAAATACACTGTTAGATTCAGCATATTAAAGAACCCCAAGAATTCAAGAATAAAACCCCATTGAAATTGGTCAAGAAATAAGCAATTTATATGAAGTATCTTCTTTTGCACAATACTGTGCAATTAAATATTTCTTGCTATTGCGCAATACTGTACAATTGACAATTTCTTGCTATTGCGCAATATTGTGCTATTGGATATTTCTTGCTATCGTGCAATACTGTGCAATTGAAGATTTCTTGCTATTGCGCAATACTGTGCAATTGAAGATTTCTTGCTATTGTGCAATACTGTGCAATTGAAAATTTCTTGCTATTGCACAATACTTATTATATAATAATTAACACATCCTGTTTGGTGTGTATCTCCTACCATATCATTATTACTTGCTTTTAAATATAAATCAGAAATAACCAACTTAAAATGGAAAATTTTAAAAGAAAAAAAAAAGGAAAAAAAGAAAAAAAAAGGAAAAAAAAAAAAATCCCCCCCCCCAAATTTTTTGAACCCCCTTATGATTCATCACCCCCAAACTCAATCCCAGCCTTCCCTTTGTGGTCTGGTACCTTGCAGTACAATTTCAGAGAGATCCATACACTTGAACACAAGTTATTGTCTGGAAACTAGAAAAATGTGTTTTTTGGCCCCTTTTTGGCCCCAAATTCCTAAACGTTTAGGGCAATTACCCCCAAACTCAAACCCAGCTTTCCATTTGTGATATGGAACCTTGTAGTACAATTTCATAAAGATCCATACACTTACACACAAATTATTGTCCTGAAACTAGAAAAATGCTTGTTTTTTGCCCCTTTTTTGGCCCCTAATTCCTAAAATTTTGAGGCAATTACCCCCAAAATCAATCCCAGCATTCCTTTTGTGATATGGAACCTTGTGGTACAATGTCAGAGAGATCCATACACTAGCACACAAGTTATGTCTGGAAGTTACAAAAATGCTTATTTTTGGCCCCTTTTTGGCCCCTAATTCCTTTACTGTTGGTACCATAACCCCCAAAATCAATCCCCACCTTCCTTTTGTGGTATTAAACCTTGTGGTAAAATTTCATAGAGATCCATTCACTTAAACTAAAGTTAGAGTGCGAAAACCAATGTGTCTTCGGACGACGCCGGACGACGCCAGACGACGACGACGACGACGACGACGACGACGCCAACGTCATACCAATATACGACCACAAAAATTTGTTTGCGGTCGTATAAAAACGCATGTAAACTTTGTTTCCTTTGAATAAACTTATACTTTTGTTGTCTGGTTTTGTTTTACGTCCTTAAATCATGTTAATATAAACTAATGTAACTGATTAAGTTTCAATCGTTAGGGAACAAGTTAACCAATAATATCCCATTTCATGCAAAGCAGAGGTACGATATGCTTTTCCTAAGACTAAAAAAATGTTTTTGTTGATCCTTAAGGAAAACCAATACTGTATTTGAAGAGCTGCCCCATTCATTTGAGGATTTGAATAAGAAAATGCAGTTTAACTGATAATGTGGAGTCAAATCCAAAAAGAAGATAATAACTCTTCAAGTTCTTTAATTCTTTTTGAAATACAACACTCTTAAAATTTTTAAAAGTAATCATTTCAAATATCCCTAAAATGACTGCAATAGTGCAACATTGTGACTTTTTAACATGGAATTGACTTATTTGAATTGTCTCTGTCAAACTTGATTTGTGTTTTGTAGTAATAAGCATTGGGTATAAGTTTCCGAACATTTGGTTGAGGCTAACTTAAGTTAGAGAACAGAAATAAATTTTCCATTTGTAAAGGGGCAAAACTGTAAAACGGTTATAGTGATGTCATCTAAATTCAAACTTTATCTGTGTTTTGTGGTAATAAGCATTGTGTATAAGTTTCATAACATTTGGTTGAGGCTAACTTAGAGAACAGAAAAGAAAAATTCAGCAACTTTTCCATTTGTAAAGGGGCATTACTCTAGAACGGTTAAAGTGACGCCACCAAAATTTAAACTTGATCTGTGTTTTGTGGTAATAAGCATTGTGTATAAGTTTCATAACATTTGGTTGAAGCAAAATAAAGTAAAAGAACTGAAACAAACTTTGGGACATAAAACTTAATGTCCCCTCCGTGTAAAAATGGGTGTTAAATATTTGTCACTAGACGTCACATGCAGTAACGTTCAATTAATCACTATGAAATGTTCGTCTCTTAATTTTATGGAAGTGGCAATCAATTTACCAATTAATCATTCAGTAAACATGGTAAAACAAACATACCATGACAATCAATTAATGAATGTGAAATTTGTCAAATATGACATACTGCCAAATTTCAATAAATCATTCAATCAATCAATTGTTTAATCTACCTATAAACCATCTAAACGAACTTATTTATATGAAGAAACTGTTGCTTGATGTGGTGCAATCATTCTACCAATTAACGAATAATTATGTTAGAAAAGATGGAAAGACTTCACTCACAATGCTTTTATATTTATTGGAAGCAACCATTAAAAAAAATAGAGGTGTGCCTAGTAAACCAATAATTAAAACAATACTTTTGGATGATCCCTTATTTAAATGAGATAGTCCTAATACAAGCATTGCAAAAAGATTGAAGATCCTTATTACAATAATGTCAACGTCATGTAAGTTGCTCACATGCTGACTTGATCCTTTTAAGAACGAGAAAGACATAATACAAGCCTCTCAAAAGAAGGAAGATTATCATTAGAATAATGTCAACTTTATACAAGCTTCTCTCTCGCTAACTTGAAATTTATTAGAATATATACAGTCAACTTCACAGAAGGAAAAGAAGCTAGTGTCATCCTATTCATTGTGTGTTTCAACAATCCAGCAGCACCTACATTAGGAGTATATACATGTGTTTCTTCAAATTGATACAATATTCCAGCAGCACCTGCATAGGATTATATCGTTCCAAGTTGATACAATATTCCAGCAGGACGTTGTGTCACTGGTCATGTTTTTATAGAGGGTTGAATCTAACAAGGCTTTTTGAAACATGTGTTCTTAAGGGTATAGCTTAAGTTATCAGTTTTTTTTGTGTTTTTTTTTAATTTTAAGAACATAATCATGACTTTGTTTTTCTATTAAGCTGACTACTATGGAATATCTGTCCAACAGATATCATTGAATATGTTCCACTTGTCATATAACAGGTTGCACCAGTGGATCAGTTATTGCTTAACCTTTTTGCTGCGGTGTGCGTTTTAAAAATTCTTTTAGATTTCTGAGCGGTGTTTTGTGGACTCTTATCTTCTTTTCGTCTATCTTCTTTTGACCAATCACTGTGATGTGCTTTCCAACTTATGGTTAATGATAATTAATATCTTCTCCCGTGTTTATCCTTATTTTCAGTGAAGTTTTGTGTCTTCATTACATATGAAACTAAACATTTTTATAAAATCAGAAAAATATCCAAATGTCATGTTTTGTCATATACATCATAAGCCTTCTTGGCTTGCTGAAAGTCATTTGTATATTTGAATACAATTGTTTGTTATAATTCAAGTTGCATTTTAATAATAAAATATTCATTCATTCATATACACTTTAAATGAATTGAAATATAGTGCTCTTTAACCTTGCCACCAGTTGCGATCTGAACCCTTGACGTCAGGCTTGAGTCAGATAATTTGACACAAATGAGATGATAATGTGCCTGTAATCAGTTTTTGTATTTTTTATAATGTCAAAACGACCATATCTTTGATTTTAAGATTCAATGAGAATAACACCCAAAAATGTGATGATTAAGAACTACTTTATATATAATTTGTACATGAAAGTGACCGTACATAAACCAAACACAGGCACATGAAGTAAATGATTTACACTACAATTTTAACAACTTTGTGATGACTTTTTAGCTGTGATGTCATTGCCTTTTTTTTTTAAATTTACATAATATTTAAGTGTTTTTTTAATGGTTTTGTTCTTGACTTACATCAAGTTTGCATGCAACACTACTTCCAAACATTGGTAACTGTTCTCTCTCTATCTGTGTCCAGGCTGCATCATTACCAACTAAAGCTATCACTGGTATCTAGATAAAATAAAACAGCTTTTGGTTAGATAAACGTTTTTGAAGATCTGACAATATCCTGCACAATGGCAGTCCTGATGTCCAATTTAAAGTTCAGTGTGTATAAATGTTTTTTTTTCACTGTCTTCATACAATATTCAAACGCTCAGACTAATTATCACTATAAATCAACTATTGTAGTAAAGTTGTCGATTGCAAGTATACTTGACATGTACCTAGCTATATCAATATTGAGACGATTGCTTCTTTTAGTAGTTTAATCGGAGTGGAGAGCATATTCTATATAACGTGCAGAAGTTTCATTGTTAGCAAAAAAATATGGATATTGATAAGGCTTTGACAGTCCTATAAAGAAATAACATTTGACCAACGCTCTAATATACTTATAATAGTCTTTTTAATAGTTACATATGCACATGCAAGGCTCTACAATCTGTCGATACCTGTATCTTGGCATTGCACAAGGTCATGTTTTTCTCTGATTGTTAACGACGTTTTTACACTAAATACATTGGATGTTGGATGTGTACTGATTGATATTTTAGTCTAAGATGCATAATTCTTTTTATTAATTGTTATTGGCTTTGAACTAGCTGTCAGTAACTGTGAGTACTCTCACATCTGTACTAAGGGCCTTTTTGTTGTATGGATGTATAAATACCCTGCCACGTCCACTCTGTATTTTTGTTAGATGTATTTCTTTGTATCCATCTGATGTATTTTTGTTAGATGTATTTCTTTGTATCAATCTGATGAGTAAAGACCTTTTCAACTGATTTTTGTAGTTTATTCTTCTTTTGTATTGTTACACTACTCTACCAGGTTAGGGGGTGGGGTTGGTAATCCTTAAAACTAGCTTTACCCAGCCACATGCTGAATTGTTTTACTTTCGTCTTTTCAGGGCTTTTTTACAGCTGACTATGCGGTATGTGTTTTACTCATTGTTGTTGAAGGCCGTATGGTGACCTATATTGTCAAAGCATTATACAAATAGTCCAAGCCGTCGCCACTGTCGAAAGATTAGTATCCCTATGTCTTCGTTTCTGTGACTTTCGTTGCAGGCAAGACAAATTCTGACAATTACTTGGTATAAAAAATAACGCACTAAAATACAATCAATAGAGCTCTAAAGATTCAGCAAGAAGAACCCCACCCAAAACCAGGGGTGATCTCAGCTGCTTCAGAAAGGTAGCAGATATGGCTCCACATGTGGCATCTGTTCGCAGAAAATCAGAAATCATTGTACTACCTTGTGTCTGGTAAATGTGTCAAACTCTGCAATACTGTATCCTAGCGAACCATCGCCATAGATTATCCATACATCACAGTCTGGACGACATAACTTAGCTCCTAAAGCAAATCCTCCTCCTACTCCAAGTGTTCCAAATGCTCCTGGATCTAACCAATGTAATGGGGATCTAGGTCTACAAAAATAATAATCTAATCTTACCAATGTAATGGGGATCTAGGTCTACAAAAATAATAATCTAGTCTTACCAATGAAATGGGGATCTAGGTCTTCAAAAATACTAATCTAGTCTTACCAATGTAATGGGGATCTAGGTCTACAGAAATTAAAATTCATTCAAACCAATTGATCTACATAAATTAAAATCCAGTCATACCAATGTGATTTACAACGATAATGATCCAGTCAAACCAATGTGATAGGGCTCTAGGTATACAAAAATGATAATCCAGTCTTACCAACATGACGGGGCTCTAGGTCCACAACAGCAATTATCAAATCTAACCAATGTGATGGGACTCTTTTTCTACAACAATAATAATCCAGTCTAAATTATGTAATGGGCTCTAGGTCTTCAACAATATTAATCCAGTCTAAATAATATAGTGGACTCTAGGGGTACAACAATAATAATCCAGTCTAGCCAACGTGATTGGTCTCTACGTCTACAAAATAATAATCCATTCTAGCCAACATGATGGGGATTTTAGGTCTACAACAATTATAATCCAGTCTAACCAACATGATGGGACTCTACGACTACCACAATTATAATCCAGTCTAACCAACATGATGGGACTCAATGTCTACAACAATAATAATCCAGTCTAATCAACGTGATGGGACCCTAGGTCTACAACAATAATAATGCAGTCTAACCAACATGATTGGGCACTAAGTCTACAACAATAATAATCCAGTCTAACCAATGTGACGGGACTGTAGGTCTACAACAATAATAATCCAGTCTAACCAACATGATGGGGCACTAAGTCTACAACAATAATAATCCAGTCTAACCAATGTGACGGGACTGTAGGTCTACAACAATAATAATCCAGTCTAACCAACATGATGGGGCTCTAGTTCTACAACAATAATAATCAAGTCTAACCAACATGATGGGACTGTAGGTCTACAACAATAATAATGCAGTCTAACCAGCTGATTGGGTTCTAAGTCTACAACAATAATAATCTAATCTAACCGATGTGATGGTGATCTGGGTCTACAACAACAGTAAAGCAGTCTAAATAAACTGCTTCGCTGAGCGCAGCTGGATACGCCAGCAGAGGTCCAACCCTGAACAGTTGGGGCAAAAATGGACACAATATTCAAGCTTAATACAGGTCTGAATTTGGATTGTAATTAAATATTTGATATACTATAGGTTTCTGAATAAATGTAGTCAAAGAACTTGGTTATATGAAAGATTTTTGCTTTTGTGCAATACACTGTGCAGTTGCGCAATACTTGGTAAATCTGTTGTCAGACTATAAATAAATAAAATCTTATAACTCGGAAACGTAAAATCAAAAATTTATAAAAATCAAAAGGTAGCTTACAAAAATAAATATAAACAATTTACCAAAGTTTCATAAAAAATGCTGAAAGCATTTTTGAATTATTGTCCGATAACTGCAAAATCCCCCTTTTTGTAAAGAATAAAACCCCATAAATCGGAAACGTATAGTCTGAAATTTGTAAAAATCAAAAGGGAGCTCATGTCGATAGAAATTAACAATTCACCAAAGTTTCTTGCAAATTGGTGAAATTGATTTTGAGTTATTGTCTGAAAACTGGAAAATCCCCCCTTTTTTAATGAACAAAATCCCAAAACTCGGAACCGTAAATCCGAAATTTATAAAAAAACGAAAGGCAGCTAATGTCAATAGATATGAACAATTCACAAAAGTTTCATGCAAATTGGTGAAATTGTTTTTGAGTTATTGTCCGAAAACTGGAAAATTCCCCCTTTTTTAATGAAAAAAAAACCCAAAACTTGGAAATGGTCAACCTGAAATTTATAAATCAAAGCACTGTAAGCGCTATATGCAGTTAACCAAAAACCAAGGCAAACGTAATAATGAAAACTGTGGCAGTGTTGCTTCATTTTTTTTAAAGATTTGAAAGAACAAACATTAAACATTCGTACATTGTACATGTATGTTTATTAAATGAATTGATTATTAAGGCAAATTAATTAATATTTTATCAAGATTTTCAAAAGCAATGCATTTATCAATGTATATTTTTAATGATGAGTTTGCAGTGGTTCAAGTTAGCAATGATTGCAGTTGTTCTAGTTGGTAGTTAACGTTGGTACCAGTTGACTTTTAGTGGTTCAAGTTGACGTAGTATGAGTTTGTAATAGTATGAATGGACTTCCTGGCAGGAACACTGAGTTTGGGTTCTACAGTACAAAAGTTATGAGACACAAATCAGCCAAAGGTTTACTACTACAGGGATCAAAGGTGAGGTCTGATTGACCTGCCCATAGTAAATGTAAACGACCCTTACCTTCACCAAGTCCATGATGTCACTCCATCCCAAGTTTGGAATAAAATGACAGGTTATTATAAAACAGTTGGTCTAACATTCTTGGGCTTTACACTGCTTGAAAGATTTATATGTTTTCTTTAAAATGAGCCACAAATGAAAATTTAATAGGCCCAGAAATAATTCAATCAACCTAGACTTATTTTTGCATCAATTAAATTTTATAATAAACAACAAATAATTGTAACAGGATCCTGTTACGAAGTCTTCCAAACAGAGCTCCCATACATCGTCATTCCCATGGTCGCCTGACATTTGGCAAAGTCCAGTACAAATTGGTTAGGTCTAGTAAAGTGATATGCATATGTGACGCCTAGGAGATTGACCCTGTATGTCATTCAAATCTTCTTGAAATGACGAACAGGAATAAATATGGTTTAGGGGTTTACAAGTTCTAAAAAAGGGGGGGGGGGCAGTGATCCCCAGGGGACTCACCCTTTATTTTATTTGATTTAGTTTATTGTCCCATACAAGAATATATATGGTTTCGGGGTGGGGATCTCGACCGCTTACAAGTTTACAAAAAGAAGGGGATGGGGATGATCCCCGTGGACTCCCTCTATATTTGTTTTGATTTATTGTCCCATACCAGAATATATGTGGTGTAGGGGTGGGGATCTCGACCAAGTTTTCACAAAGAAGGGGGTGGGGTGTCTCCAGGAACTCCCCTATATTTCATTTGATTTGTTATCTTGTCCCATACATGAAAATATGGTTGAGGGTTTGGGATATCGACCGTTTACAAGTTTTCGAAAAGAAGGGGTGGGGTTGACCCCAGGGACTCTCCCTGTATTTAATTTGATTTCTTATCTTGTCCCCTACATGAATATATACGGTTTAGGGGTGGGGATCTCGACCGTTTACAAGTTTTCAAAAAGAAGGGGTGGGGTGACCCCTGTGGACTCCCTATATTTCATTTGACTTGTTTTATTGGCCAAAACAAGAAAATATATGCAGTAGGGGTGGGGGATCTCGACCGTTTACAAGTTCTCAAACAGAAGGGGGTGGGGTGACGCTGGGATTCCCCCTATATTTCATTTGATTTGTTTTACTGTCTCATACAAGTAAATATATGGTTTAGAGGTGGGGATCGCGACCGTTTACAAGATAAAAGCACATTTTCAAATTGAAAGGGGTGGGATGACCCCAGGGACTCACCCTATATTTTATTCTATTTGTTCTATTGTCCTGTTATCATTACTGAAGACTGTGTGTGTCTATCACTTACTGTTTTCAAGTAATGGTCATTTGAAAATTGAAAAAAAAGTAAAATCCCATAGGGTTCTATAGTAAACCTCTCCCTTATTAAGGCCCCTCAAAATACCCCTAAATAGACCCCAATGCATAAACGAAAGATTGATGGCTCCGCTAGACATGTTAGTCTTACGTTTTATGAAACCCTTAGTAAATCTAACAAGCGGTTCGAGTTGTCTTTTTAAACGGTCCTAGTGGACTCGGTCCGACTTGTCTCGGGGACGAGTTGTCTACATTTCGTAAAACATCCCATCAACGTCGATTTACGGATCTGTTTCATTCATGAACAACAACAACTTTGGCAAGTCAGTGATAAACGGAATAATATAATAAAAGAAAGGAATTTAAATGTGCATACATTTAATTGAAATCATTTAAATAATCACAATCTTTTTAAACATGTTAAACGAAAAGAACATCATGATCAACAAAACTTACTTTATAACATCAGAATACTTACTAGCTTACGAACTTACGGTTCGTGTAAGTTGAAATTACCGCCAACTGAGACTTCTATATATTTATAACTTTATTTCCTCTATCATAGAGAATTGGTGTACATAAACAATATTCCTGCGCCTTTTGCCATTTGGGAAATGTAAACGATTTGTAATTAGAGATTTTCGGCGATGAAATATTTCATACAATTGTTCTTTGACATCTTAGCCAAAAGCACATGGGATAATACACTATGTACGGATTTCTTTAAACATTTTGGGTAGTTAGACAAGCATTTAAGGTTTTTCTGGTCATATTTTTTTCTATTCCAGAATTGAAAGTATGAAAAAAGTGCCCAATTAGTTATAAATAACATATAAGCCAGCTAGATAATAACAATAGCACTTTTTCCACCATTCAGTGGGAAGAACACAAATCTAGGGTGGTAGCATAATGCAGCTTAACTGCATAAAAACGAAAGGGAGCTCACGTCAATAGATATAAACAATTCACCAAAGTTTCATGCATATTGGTTAAAGCGTTTTTGAATTAATGTCAGACATGTTGACGACGGACGGACGGTCAACGGTATACCATAATACGTCCCGTAAACAGGCGTATAAAAACGTGATGGGGCACTAAGTCTACAACAGTAATAATGCAGTCTAACCAATGTGATGGGGCTCTATGTCTACAACAATAATAATCCAATCTAACCAATGTAATGGTTATCTAGGTCTACAACAATAATAATGCAGTCTAACCAACATGATGGGGCTCTAGGTCTACAACAATAATAATCCAGTCTAACCAACATGATGGGGCACTAAGTCTACAAAAATAATCATCCAGTCTAACCAACATGATGGGACTCAAGGTCTACAACAATAATATTCCAGTCTAACCAACGTGATGGGGCTCTAG